TTCCCTCTTAGCTAGCAACAATATATATATAATCAGAAACATGATATTTCATATTAATGATTTATTCATGATATATATTAATTTCCCACATTAATTCTTTCTGTGTTGGGAATGATAATCTAATAGGCTTGCTTAATCTTCAATTTTGTAACTTGAAAAAGAAATTGTCAAAATTCTATCCACTCCATAATATATATATATAACCGTAGTATAACATTACCATTCTTTTGAGTTTGTACGTGAAAAAAACCATTCAATGCATTATATATATAAGCCGATGGCATTACAAGGAATCCACATAATAGACAAATAAAAAAAAAACACACACACACACACACAAAGAATGATGGAAGCCATATCCAAACAAACCGACCGACCATCACAAATTCCCCGACAGACAGCAGCATTCAAACAAATTGTGACAAAAATAAAATAAAAGAGAAATTAATAAGGGTCAGAACCATCCATAACTGGTTGATGAAGATTCGTCGAACCCGAAAAAGGCCTCATAAGGAGCATCGAAGCTAAGCCGGTGCTCAAGACACCTCATCTCATTCACCACATCATTTCCCACTTCCGACAGTAGTGGCGGCTCCTCCGACCCACAGCTGATGTCTGGTGGCAAAGGCGGCAGCTCAGCACTCCCCTGCTGACTGTACTCATTATGATAATTATTATTATTATTAACAATATTATTATTATTACCAATATTATTGTTCGTCATCACTAGCTGAAATCCTTGCTGACTGTACTCATTACTGGATATTGCAAAGTTGAAATTATGCTCCGAGTTGTTTTCGTAAAGCATTGAGAAATTCTGATGATGATGCTGCTCATCGGGCGAGATGATGGAAGTGAGTGACGAGCCAGGTGGCATGTCCGAGTAGACAAAGTTGGTTCGTGCACGTGACCCGCGCATGGACCGCGCGGCCCTGTCATAGGCTAGCGCAGCCTCCTCGGCCGTGTCGAAAGTCCCGAGCCAATGCCTCTCTTTGGTCGAAGGGTCTCTTATCTCTGCTGCGTATCGGCCCCACGGACGCCTCCTCACCCCAAGAAATCGATTGCCCGACGAAGAAGAAGATGAAGAAGACGAAGAATCATCTCCACCTTTTCTCTTGCCTTTCTTTTTCAAGCTATCCATGATAATATTAAGTAATTCTCAACTGTTTATGAATTCTTGATGATTTAGTTTGTGGCAGTTGGAGTTGAGGGAAGGAAGGAATAGGATGGGTTTAAATAAGGGGTATTGATTTTTGGAGCTGCTGATTATATTAATGGGTTGATGAATTAATTATGATCAGTGGAACATGGAAGAAGAGGTCTACTAGCTAGCTATTATATATATAAAAAAAATAAAAAAAATAAAAATTGTAAATTACTAAATACTAGTAATTGATTCAACTATATAACTATCACATGCATGGATAATTATTAGGCATATGCACCCCTGAATCTAAATGCCATTATATGTTGTTACTTTGTGATTTTTTTCAACATTAATTATTCCTCCAATTATTATTATTATTAGATTAGATTAGATTAGATAGGCGGACGAATGATATTCGCGGGAGTTTGACCATGTTGTCAATACCATTTTTTTTTTTTTTTTTTCAACCGATACTAACTGAAATAGAATAATAAATATTATTTCATTAAACAATGTATGGTGGAACATTATTTAATTTAGTAGATTGGACTTTCAAAATTATAATTTCTAACTGTGAAGGGTTTATGCGCGCGGCATGTGTAAATTGACCTTTTCTCCCTTGTGTTTATGTATTGTAGTTCGTTCATTTTTTTTTTATTTTTTTTCGGGAACAATAGGAAGTAGCTCGTTCATTAGTTGCACTAGTGAGTCGGTATTGGTAATTTGGTATCCTCATACCCAACTACAAAAACTTAAGGATGCTTATTGATCTGCCAGGACCTAGATGATGGGTGTCGGATCCAACAATAATAAATTCCTACTTCTAAAATAACTGTAGTAGTGATAAGCAGGGTCGTATTCACATGGATTGGCAAGATAAATTATCGATGCAACTATTTGTGAAAGAAATAAAAATAAAAATGATGGAGAATTTTTGATGATTTTATCTAACTAAGAAAATAAAATAAAATCTAACTAGATACTAGAACAAAATAAGTGATTAAAAATAGAGAAGATATCCATCCAAAGGAAAAACTCGTAGAAATGGTTCAACGATTCGATCATGGATGCAATAATTCTATTCTCGATTAAACTGGTTATGGTTATTGGTACGACCTAACAACCTATCCTTCCTTACTTGTTCGATAATCAAGATACAATCTCTAGTTATTTCTCTAATCAACAAACAACCCTAGATACGATCATAGGATTTAATCTATATATCAACAACAATAAGATCTAGAAGGACCACCAATTCTAGCCAACAAACGCACATGTAGGATCATTTAGACTAGATCATATATCACCCTAAGCATACAATCAAAAACCCTTAGTAGTCAACTATGCTATTTGCCACAAATATTAGAACGATCAAACAATTACGGATTTAACCGTCCTAAATAACTATATGCATTTCAACAATCAAACAAATGGCCAATTTGCATCAACAATCAAAACACAATTGGTAATAATCACAAGAGATATATAAATAAAAGAGAATAGGAAATAGAAATTCAATTAGATCTCACAAATCATGAAGAACAAAATCTAGAATAATCCTTTGACTGGAAAAATAAATTAATTATCCATAAACATGCGAGAAGTCTCCCAATTATTCATGAAAAATCAAAGAAAAGAAGAAAGAGAAGAAGAGAAGAGAGGATAAAAGGGCGTGCGTCAGGGTTGAAGAAAAGAAGAGATCCAAAATAATAACAGTCTGGTTTTTAATCAAACCACTTTAATCCTAATCCTAGCAGAAAATACGTAGAAAATAAGAATGAGATCATTCTCTCTCCAAAGTATCCTAATAAAATAGAATAGTCCATAAATAAATAAATACTCCATAAAGTCTTTTATTTCTCTTTCCAACTTGAGACTCCTTCTTCCAACTCTTGTAGGAAACTAGTGTGTACCTTGTGGGATGCACGAGAATAATATTAAATTAATAATATTATAAAGAGACCTCGAGTTTGAGTCACTCAATGGCAGAAGTGGAAACTACTATTGATCCTATTTAAAAAGAGGAAGAAAAAAAATAATTATAAATTAAAGAGGAGGATAAACAATATTTAATAATTATAAATTAAAGATTCAGTATCAAACAATGTAAAATTATTTTGTATAAGAGAATATAAATTTTACATTATTTTGTATAAGAGAATATAAAATTTGTATGTTTAATATTAAAAACACCTAAAATATTATATTAGTATATGTAAAAGTATTCAAATTTTCTATATTATTTTTGAAAGATATGAAGTCACTTACAACTTTTCTAAACAATTTTAGAAGGAAAACATATCTAAAAATATTTAAATTTAATATTGTTTATTTTGTAAAGAAAGCATGTCTACAAATATTTAAATTTAATATCAATTATGTATATGTGTATATGTATATATATATGTATTATATATAGACGAATATATAAAAAAAAATATCTAAATAATTTGTTTAAAGTATTTAAAAGATTATAACTCTAATTTAATAAACACATTAGGTCACATGATACCGAGTTTATGACTCTACTTCTATCTAAAAAATTTGATTACACAAAATTTCAAAATTATTATTATACTTTTTACGTTGTTATCGAGAATGTATTGTTAACTTATAATATTTGTAAAAATATTAGTAATTAGAACGGTATTGTAAGCTTATAATATTTGTAAGAATATTAGTAATTAGAACGATGAAAATTAGCCTTTTAGAGTAGATAATGGATTTTTAATAGTAATTATGAATTGGTTTCTATTTTTTTTTAATCTGATAGATAAGTGATGAGATTTTTAAATTCGTGAGACACGTATGCATGAGATTTTGTGAGATTTTATAAGCTATCAATTATTTTTTAATATGATTATGTAATTATAGATTTTTATATAATATCTACACAGTCTGTTATTTTGTTAACCTATAAAATAGGAAAAAGGGAACCATGAGAAAAACCAACCCATATTTATTCATTAAATGATTTTGGCGGTAAATTTTAGCGGGAAATCATAAAAAAGTTATTCTATTTATATAATAATTAGCGTGCCCACGCCTTAGCTCAAATTCGTCTCTTTCGACCTCCATTCATCATAAAATTCTAAATTCCGAAATATCCTACAAAAATTATAAAAATCAAATAAAATCAATAATGAAGCTCATACAGACACCGAAAAAGTATGGAAATCATGACAATTAACATGTCAATAATACGACTTATCACTAGATCTAGGTTGAACCAGCCCAGAAAGACCTCTCATTGGATGATAATAGCTTCTTACCTACAATACAAAGGGCCGTGAGTGGTTTTTTCGGCGTGAGCACTCCAACGCTCAAATCAGTAAGGAAAAAAAGATGATAATCTGTAATGCATCTAGAGAATTTTGAAAGTGTATAGAGAGTGTAGCAGTTGTACCTCATCCCCCTTTTACAAGGAGATACTTTTTTTTTTGTCGACCGAAAGGTATCTCCACATTCACTCAGCGACATCACCAAACACTGCCAGCTCATGCCTGGTGGAAGATGGGAACACAGACCTATCGTCCTATAGGATCCACACGCCAAAGCCTGACACTAATCCTCTCGAGAGGTGCATAGTGCTCCACCCTATTAGGGAATACCTTAGGGTGTGCAAACTCAATCCCACATCAAAAAATTAAAGGTTCCAAGTCCAATATATAAGCTTGGTGGGCTACTGCTTTTATTGTCAATTGGTTTTAAAATAGAACTTCATTTGAGCTTGTATGTTGGGTTTGATGGAGAATTGAGCTTGAGTTGTTGGTCCTAACAATTGGTATCAGAGCCACAGTTGGTAGTCAATTGCGATGTGGATGACGTGGCATGTTCCCCGTGGAACCGGTAGAGGGTCGGTGGATCCGTGTGCCTTGTGTCGAAAGTCTTCCTGGCGAAAGGGTGGTAAGGCGGCGTGTTTTGTGGGTGTGTTACATGGATGATGACGGCTGTACAAGATCGTCAGATCGTGTAGATTTCGTTCAAGGGGAGGCCCAAGTATGTGATCTTGTGTTTGAGGGGAGATTTGTAGGGTGTGAAAACCCAATCCCACATCGTAAAATTAAAGGTTCCAAGACCAATATAAAAGCTTGGTGGGCTACTCATTCTATTGTCATTTAGTTTTAGAATGGAACCTCATTTGAGCTTGTATGTTGGGCTTGGCAGAGAAATGAAGCTGAGTTGTTGGTCCTAACAATAAGCTATCTTGTTACCTGAATGACTGAGATTTAATCCTGTTTAGTGTTCATCATCCTTACCTTGATTTCATCTTTATCGTTATTAAATTACTTCTTACTTCATTAGATTCCCTCTTATTCTGATTAGGTCTTCCTTAACTTAGGCCTCTTGGTGTTCGAAGGTTGTTACAACATGTGCTGACTGTTGTTCTCCACACTACAAAAAAATGATGAAATTCCAACTGAATATATTCTAATAGAATTTCAACGACACGTCCAATTGATATTTCAAAGTTGTTATTTCCGTTGGAATAATTTTAACAGAAATTTCAATAAAAATATTTCATTGGAATTTCCATTGGATTTTGACGATTCAAACGGTTTATTTTTCAACGGTGGTGGAAATAAAAATTTTAACGGAAGTTGCATATTTGAACGAAGATTCCTACGGTCAAAAGCCGTTGTTAATATAGTCGTTGGAATCATCAATTTCATCTAAAATTTCAATGAAAAAATATATTCCAACAAAATATTTTCGTAGGAATTTATGTTGGAATCATTACAATGGAAGCTATGCTATTGGAATATCCGTTAAAATTTCCATTAGAATATATTACCATATAATTTTTCGTTGGAATATAACAACTTTTTGTAATACCAGGTCATCTTATTGAGTGTTGACAGGTCTCAGGTACTTAGGTCGTACTGTTGAGTATTCGTAGGTCCCTCATGATGTCTTAGGTTGTTATGATGCATTGGTCGTGTGTTTCGAATCCATCACAGAAATTCAGGTCGCCATTCCTGTTTAAGCGACCT